GGATAAATCTTAAATTTCAATCAATTCACTTAAGTACTTAATGAACAATAGCTATATCCTAAAATTGTGCTGTGAAATAATATGATTAGAGGAATCTATTTGGAAAAGTGATATTAGTATGACTTAATATCTTTATTGTAGGATCCTAGAGAACTTTTAAAGGTGTTAGCATTCTAATAATAATAAGAAATGAATTGATATACAGCAGTCGCCACAAATCAGAAAAACAGGTGATTCTAATTGCTGCCCTAACAATTATTCAATTATTCATGAAACCATCACCCACATCCTTAATGTTGGTGCTCAATGTGAATGGGCACTCCTACTTAAAATTTTAGGATGATGGCAGGGGAAGAATTAATAGGAATATATCCATGGAGATATATTCAGACTTTTTTTTCAATTGTCTCATATAATAATAATAACATTCATAACTTGTTCCAATTGTCATTCTACTTATAAAGGTTCATTTTGCTTGGCTAATCATCTGTATCTAACAAAATCCTTGAGAGTTAATTTAAATCCTATCTTTTCTAGAAATTGTTCCTTGTATAGACTATATTATACTAATCTCTCACTTCTCTAAACTTTTATTATACTTAATTGAATGCTTTCTTGTATGCTATAAATGTTTTTCTATGCAAATCTTGTTCTGACAATTAGATCTTAAGTGGCAGGCATCCTCAAACTATGGCCCGCAGGTCACATGCGGCCCGCCAAGGACATTTATCCAGCCCAGCAGTTGTTCTTGCTGCCACTGCCTGTCCTGCTTAGCAGTCGACTCATCCCGGGACCCACAGTCCAGCACTCCAGTGTTCTGAGGGACAGTGAACTGGCACCCTGTTTAAAAAGTTTGAGGACCCCTGGGCTAGAGCAATGGTGCTTTTTATATCAGAACCACCTAGAAGGCTTGTTGAAAAAGGTTGCTGGTCCCCAATACTGGAGTTTCTGATTCAGCTGGGTTGAGGAGAAGTTTGATAATTTGCACCAAGTAATACTAATACTAAAGCTACTGGTCAGGGGACCACACTCTAAAAACCATTGAAGTAGAGTGAACTACGGTCATGTAGTTTTTGTATAATGATAACGCACGAAGTATCTTTTGTTTCTCTGTCTTTTTGCCATATCTGCTGGCACTGCTCTCATCCAAATCTTCATCCCCGATTTTCCTTCTGCTTGGAATGCCCTCTGCCTAGTTTCTAGTGAATTCTCATCCATATTTCAATTCCTATTTTAAATGTCACCTGTAAGCTTTTCTTGATCTCTAGGTTATAAGTAGTAACTTCCAGATTTGTGACTCCCAAAGGCTTCATATATGCTCTTTTTATAATACAATTTTTCACAGGAATTGTTGGTGTATGTGTCTATTCTCCTGACTATACTATGAGCTCTTCAAAGGCAGAGACCATATTTTACTTGCTTCTGTAGTCTTAGTACAAAATAGGGGGTATGGCACATAGTAAATATTCAGTGGCTATTTACTGAAAGAATGAACTAATTGACTTTGTATCTAGATATTTGTGATACTTCCCTCACAGCACTCTTTAATGTTAAGCGTATCAACTTTGATTCATGTTATTCATAATTTCAGTTTAATTTTCCAAATGTTCCCTATTATATGCCCTTCAACTCCAGAACTATACTCCTAAAGCCCTCTTCATAATCTGGCTGTTACCTATAGCTCTGATATCACTGTTATTCTCTGCTCCAGTTAGGACATGCTACTCAGGTTCAGTGAACACCATATACGTCTAACTGGCAGAAATCTGTAAGAGCTCTGCTCTTTCTTTGTCCCCCAACACATCTTTAAATTCCTCCCTGCTGTTCAGCATTTGCAGCATTCACTATTTACAGCAGTTGTTCAGCATTTAATATCAGTTGTCTTAAATGCTCTTAATTATGGGTAATTTATTTATTCACCTATATTGTAAGTGCTGTAGCTATTAATCCTTATTTTGTTCTTCTTTTTATCCCATTGCCTATGATAGTCAGGACTTTAATATTTAGTTATAATTGTAAAGGAACTACCCAATAAATTCTCAAAAAGAGTCAGTGACTATACATTCATTACGATATCAAATAAAACAAGCCAGAATGATTCAAAAAAAGGTAAGAAGACACTTCTGAATTCCACTTATGGTCTGCAATGGCCTTGGTCAGAAACCTAAAGGCTGTCCCAATCACAAAAAGCACACTGGACTCCATACCGTACAGGCACAACTTTTAGAAGGGATTGCAATGCTATCTAGATTTAAATAGAGCAATCTTTCCAGAGTTGGACAGAGAAAGATATTCAGAAAGCAACAGGCATGGTGGCTAAAGGTGGTATGTGCCACGTGGTGGGAAATGTATCTGACATGAGTAAAATGCAGTGGGAAGGAATGGAGGCAAGGAAAAGCCCTTTAAAATAATGAACTAGAAAACCTTCCATCCAAAGGACAGCGAGAATCCCATTCCAGAACAGCAGAACCATTTGATATGAATGTTTGCTGGAGCAGAAATTGAACTGGAAGTGAGATACATCACCCAGCCCTCCACTTTTACATATCGTAGCTCCAAATATGATTTTTTCCATAGCACAGCCCAGGAAACAATCATGACCCCATCTGATGTAGACACTGAGTCTTGATAGGTCTCTTGATAGCAAACAACAACTACAAAACCGAACGTAGGTCACATGGAAAAAATACTGCAGAAGAATGTAAAGAAAACATTATCCTGAAAAAGCAGGTAAAGATCCATTCACTGAAAATAATATACTATAACTGACAATAATATACAGGTAAAGATCCATTCACTGAAAATAATATACTATATATGATTTTAATAGTTGGAAATTTTTCTTCATATTCAAAAAAAGGACCTCCAAAAGTAAGAAGTTAGTAATAATCTGGCTTCTGGCTAGTAAGTTATATTTACAAAGATAAACAATGAATGAGGAGTAAAACTGAGTTAAAGTTTTTATTGTATATAGGAGTGACTTTAAAATGTTGATTCATTTTTGAATTCAAAATAAGAGATATGTAGTTTAGAAGGCTTTAAAAAATTTACATGTATCTGTAGAAGAATTAATAACAAGACATCTACATTCTAAATCTCTACAGAGGTGAGCAAAATTGTATGGCCAAAGAACAACAAAACAGTAAAAAAAGCAAAAGATAAATAAATAAATAAATAAGCAAAAATAAAAAATAACAGAACAAAATAAGACCAAACATACTAGTTATTACAGGCAATGTAAATATATTAAGCATTGCTATTAAAAGATGAAAAGTCCAACATAGTGTTAAAACTTGACATTTAACTTATGCTCCAAGACACAAAGTGGGTAGATCTGGGATTCAAACCGTCTTCTTTTTGGTGCTGAAGCTTATGCTCTTTCTGTACCTTATGCAATTTACCTAAATGTATTAATGAAACTTAGTTCTCTACATTTCAGATATTTAAGTTCAATCTATCTATTATATTTAAATAATATACTAATTAAATAATATAACACTTTTTTCCTATATTGTGGAAATAAATATTTCTTCAAAATATATGTTCGCTGGGCGGTGCCTATGGCTCAAAGGAGTAGGGTACTGGCCCCATACGCCGGAGGTGGTGGGTTCAAACCCAGCCCCGGCCAAAAACTGCAAAAAAAAAAAAGATATATGTTTGCTGTATATGTGAATAAATGAAAACATATGAATATATGCATGCATATGAATGCATTAAGTGATTAAAATGCAAAAACATTTCAACCGTTCAAATAACTTTATTCCTTTGTTGACAAATCAAATTCTCTTGCCTATTTAATACATAGCTATATCATCCATATTTAATATGTACCTGTATTAATACTTACGTATGATAGATTTAAAAAGAATATTATATAGTTATCTTCTTAAAGCAATGAGTCACAAGAAGAACACTGCTCTAAATTCATATTGTGACGTTCATTCATAATAAAACAATGATCATGGCTCGGCGCCTATAGCTCAATCGGCTAAGGCGCCAGCCACGTACACCTAAGGTGGCGGGTTCAAATCCCCAGCCCGGACCTGCCAAACAACAATGATGGCTGCAACCAAAAAATAGCCGGACGTTGTGGCGGGCGCCTGTGGTCCCAGCTACTTGGGAGGCGGAGGCAAGAGACTCGCTTGAGCCCAGGAGTTGGAGGTTGCTGTGAGCTGTAATGCCACGGCACTCAACCCAGGGGGACAGCTTGAGGCTCTGTCTCAAAAAAAAAAAAAAATAAATAAATAAAATAAAACAATGATCATGGGCAAACATATTTATTTATGTAGTTATTCATCTGATTGCAAAAAGTTTTTGTAGAGCCTGATTTACAGAAGTAAACTCTTTGTAACTCAACATGAATACGGGGTTTTGGAGCTTCACTTAAGAAAAAAGAACGAAGTACTTAAATCTCATAGACATGTTTAACCACTGACAACCACTGATCTAGCAGAAAAGCAAAGCTGCTACCTCCTTTTGATTTACAAGCATAGTATTGCTGAGGCTGATGGCAATTACTCATCATTTAGAAAATGGAATCTGATTTTTTATTTTTATTTGACTATTTTAAGAAAAAAAAAAAAAGGATGCTGTAACCTAATCATGCCATAATCCAGGTGACATCTGTACTAGGCAGAATCCTGTTGTTATTATCCTGTCTAGCTGCTATTGCTGAGAATGACAAAGTAGTGAAATTACATTTTCCCATTATTATTTCCAGACACTCTCTGACAATGGTTTGTTGACTCTAATAAACCTTCAGACAAAGCTGTCAGCAAAGGAAATGACAGAAGGAGAGCAAGGAAAAACCTCTTCAACAATAAATGCATCTAAAGCCTGGGTCTTAGCTTGTACAGATTATGATAAAATTTACATGTTTCAAAATTAACTCTAATGCTGCATTTAAGTTCCAAAAAGAAAAATGTATTGTATCAAGTTATATTACCAATGATTTTGATAAATATAAATATATTATGCAATTAAAGAATAAGGCATCTTACCTGCTATAGTATTAAGAAACATCAAATACTCAAAGTTTGAAATTTCCCTTCTTTGCCAGCGCTGAGTCATGTTGGAAGATTTATACAGCTGTCGAGGAGTGGCCAATGATATCCTCCTAGCAAGTAAGCATACCATCATAAACACAGTCTCTTAATTGGTAGCTTAAAAAAATCCAATGTTAGCTAATATATTGGTATGGTATCATTCTATTTAAAATACTTTCTGGTTTATCTTTCACAGACAGATTATAGAATTCATTTTGGTTATATAAATTAACATTATTGAGAATTCTATTATAGAGAAGATACATTTAATGACTTGGGATAAACCAATTTAAAACCAACCCTATTTGTCAAAATATAGTTGCAAGTGGGTATTTTACAAATAAAAACAATAAAGGTAAAATAAGTCAAGATATTGTTTAAACAATACAGCAAATCTACTCCATGCCAACAGCTAGGTAGGTGTTAGTCAAGTACCTGCTTGTGAGCATTTGACTTAATGGCCATCACTAAACATTTTATAGCAGCCTTCACTCATACACTGTAGACACATATGCTGCCTCTACTCACAGAATACATATCCTTCTAATGATACAAAAACAAGGGAGAACTTTGAAAAAAATGTATGGTCTAGAAGAAGAAGGGACATAGGAATTGCTGAAGAAAATAAATCAGGATAATTAGTACAAATTATGAATCTTTCCAGGTTCAATGTGTTTATCTAAAAATAATGAAAGCTAGTTGTATTTAGAAAACTATTATAAAGCTAATGGGTTTCTAAAATGACTAATAGAGGTTCTCAAACTTTTTGAATTCATGGCATCCTTAATATCTCCATCATTTTTTCATGGTGCTCCTTAGAAAAAGAGATAGACCTAACAGTTCTGTTTATTAAGTAGTTAGGTCTAAACAACTTAATGATACCTAACATCTTAACAACTTAATAGCTATTGAAGAATATAATACTCACAAACTGAGAGAGTAATAATATTGGTATTTCACTCTTAAATAACCATAATTATGCATGGGATGTATGTCTGTTGGGTACTGCTTAGCTTCTCAAATTCTGCAATCAGGTCTCACACTACCACCTTCATTTCCTGCTGCACGCTGATTTTTCATGTGGCTCTTGTTTTTTAAACACAGAAACAACCAAACATCAGTTTCATACAGATATCATTGAAAAAAATGAAATGGTATTTAATGTTTAAACTTAGAACTAACTCAAGCTAATAGTTTGTGTAGTGTCTGACAAAATGTTGGTGTTTTTCCTTTGAAAATATAAAATGCCCTATGGCAACCTCTGGGAATTCTCTGTGATTATCTTGGGGCTCCTCTGTACTCAGTTTGGGAACTACAGACTTAAGATTATTTCTGTCACTCATGGATTATTATCATATATTTCTATTAACATGGAATCTTAACAGACATTGTCTTACACACAGCAGTCGCTAAAATTTTTGTTAGTTGGACAAGGGGAGAGAAGGAGGAAGGATGCGATGGATCCATGCTATCTCAGATTCAAATCTTAATCAAGAATTTTAGAAATAATTGTATATAATTCAATATTTAAAATATTAGCTTAATAAGTTATGGCAACCTATATATATCATCGGTTATATATATGTAATTTTTGAAGAACTTTCTTAGTTATATCTGGGTGAGATAATAGACAACTGACTCCTAAAGAACCATATGAGTCTAATGAGTCATTTAACTGCAATGGCGCACAGTGTATACCACTTATACTTTAATTCTAAAATTAGTAAATTGTAAAATTAATTTTCACATAGCTACATAAAGGGCTTTCAGAGTTTGATCAAAAATGGCACCAATATCCAAAATTTGCTCAAGTATACTTTACATTATACAACTATTTTATGCTATCAACTTTAGCCCTGTTTCTGAGTTTATGCTAAAATGTTTTCAAAATTATCAGGAAATCAATAAACTATGCTTAGTCCAATTTACATTGTGTTACTATTAAAATTATATTCTTAATACTCTGATTAAATTCTTACATATATGCTTGGTCTGCTAAAAGAAATATATAGTATAACAAAGTTTTGAATTCCTTTGTTGACATTTTGACCCAGACAATTCAAAAAGAATATTGTTCATCTGGAAATAATTCTGACCACCATACTCCTCCCATTCTCCCCACCTCCACCCCTGGCAAACCCCCCCAACAAACTCTGTTTGGTGTAAATTGGAAATAATAGGAGTCATGGGAGAAAGTTATCATGTCACTCTACGAGTATGTAATGTAAGTAGGAAGATAAATGTAGATGTAGGAAATGAATTTAGAAATATAGATTTTGGGGCTCAAGGAGTAGGGTGCCAACCCCATATACAGGGTGGGGGGGAGGTAGGTTCAAGCCTGGCTTGGGCCAAAAACTGCAAAAAAAAAAAAAAAGTAGATTTTTATTAATAGCACATTCAGAGAAAGGTTTAATTTTTGCTGTTGACTTCTCTCTTTCCCACAGTAAACTCACTGATAGCAAGAACCACGTTTAACTGAGTGGTATTATTTATTGTTACATACTTAGCATTTAGCAATGGTCAGCATATAGTACAGTCTCAGTAAGTACATCTGAATGACCTGAATTATTTGTTGTCTACCCTAAAAGGGAAAATGGGTGAGAGGTGTGATGCTAAAAAAATTAAATAATTCAATAGTACAAAGAAATAAAAAGTAAATAGTAAATCAACAAGGCTATTAAAAATATCCTAGAACAAGTTTAGAAATTATAATGAGGGCATTTGGCACATGTTTGAGCTACAGTTGAATGTTTTTAGAATTTGGAGGTAAGAAGAAGGCAAAATTGGCCTCTGAAATAAAAAGTATTAAGTATTACAACAAATGACGACCATTATAAATCATCAACTCCAGGGTATATCTTCGGCTGTGAAGACTCTAATCCAGTGATTTTTCAACCAAGGTGCCATGAACATTTTTAAAGAGCATTAATTAAATTATTTTCAAAAGAAGTTCAAAGCACAGTAAGTATATTCTTTTCTTCATTCTTTATTTTGATAGATGTAATTTAAGTTTGCTGTGGAAGTTTAAATATAGTTTCAAGAGGACTGTGAGATTAAAAAATGGTAGAAAAATACTGCTCAAATCGAATGGAAGATTAACTGATTATATTGACTGAAAAGAAAACATGTTAACTAAAGAATGATAATTAGTATGAATTCTAGAAAACAAACAAGTGTTAGCCAGCACTTTTCATCACTGTGAGAAGGTGTTGTTTTTTGGACCAGTGTGGATCTCCTTGATAGAGGACACAGGATAGGAATTAAGAGAGCAGGCAAGGTGAGTTAATATAAATCAAAAATTTTCTATCTGTAAAATGGGATAAGAATCCCATTGTTTTAAGAATGTGGTTGTTTTAAGAATTACGGGAAATAATATTTACACCCTAAAACACAAAGTGCAGTCCCTGGCCCAGGCTAGTGGTCAGTAAACAATAGTTATGAACACTAATGAATGTAGCAGTGGGCTATGTTAGCTTAATGGAAATATTCCTTTTGTTCTAGATCTTTTTTCTTTAAGCCACACTCCCAACTGCATTATGATCTCCTTGGTGGGCTTGCCCAAGAAGTAGCCTAAATGATTTCTGAAGTTAATTGTTCTGGCAGTACAACTGCCTTTGAATTTGATGTGTTTTGTCATCATTTAAAATGAGTATCTTAGGGGGTTAGCTTAGAGTAAGTTCCGTAGAGTTCAATAAACTCCTCTTAAACTGACAAAATGAAAGCAAAGCGAAGAATGGATCCCTAGACCTTCTTGGTGAATCTACCTGCTGGACGGCTTCTACTTGGAGCAGGCAGGCATGATCCTTTTCCTTTGATAACTCTAAATGTAAAAAGATCTTAATGCCACACACATACACCTACCTGCCTACATACATCTGTGTGTGTGTGTAAGCCTGTATATATACATGCACATTGCATTGTGTGGTTAAAGTTTAGAAACTGTCCTTATTTTATTCTCTCAGGAGATTCTCAAAATGTCTGTTTTGCAGAGAAATGTTCCCATTTTATGATAATGAGAGTGCCATCCCTCTTGCCTTATTCTTTCAGACATCATTTACTGAATTCCTACTTAGTGGCAAGCTCTCGTTACTCACCTATGAAGTGAAGGTTTAAGCCTAGCTTCAGTGTCCCCCCAACCCCTGCTGCTACTTCTAAGGGTATATATACCAGGATGTATGCAAAACTGAACCTGTAAGAATATTATTAGGAAGCTAAAAATGAGTTGAGTCTTGGCGGGGGAGGGGCAGGACAACAAAGGAGTTACGGAATGGCTTTATGAAACAGCACAGAGACCAAAACTACTGAACATCAATTTTGCTTCCAGATTTTCTATTGAGAAGGATCTTCCAAAGTCAGAAAGAGAACAAATGTAGTTAAAAAGGGAAATGACAGTCATAACAGGTAAGAAAGATAATGGAGTTTCTGGTTGTTTTAAATGAATTCAGGTTCAGACAAGTCCAAGGGAAATTACGCATGCCATCAAGAATCCCCTATAGGCAATCCTTCTGGAATCATGGTCATTGAGACAGATGCCAGGAGGCAGGAGATTATTTTTAAAAAGAAAAAATTTAGAACTACCTGTGAATTATTAATGTCAATTTCCGGAAGAATTCTTAAATTGATGATTAAACAAATAGTTTGAAAGCACTTGGGAAAGGAATTAGTATGAGTCAGCTGAGATTCAATAAGAACAAGTCTTGCAAAATCAACCTCCTTTCTTTGATAGATTAAAAGCATTTTTTCGTTGACCTATATTTTATATAAGTGCTTCATTCTCAACTAATGTCTTAGTTTAATCTTGCCATTCTATTAGCAAATATCCTGAGCATGAGCATACATGTCAGTGAATTGGTTTACATGGCAATCTTAAAGAAAATAGAAAAATTGCAATACAAGGTAACTCTAGTTGAATAGCACGTAAGAAACACCTCTGCAGTGAGGCACTATGAAAAAGTAAATAAAACACAGTCACTGTATTCCAAATGTCTCTACGCCACTTAAGGGAAGACAGAAATTAGTCTTCCTTTCCATCCATGCAATAATTTTCAAGGATTTAACAGTCTATTTAACAGAGAGTGTTGCTTATCTACCCAAAGCCAATCTCTCTTACTTCCTCATCAACAGAAACCATCTTGTATAAAGTAGGAGGTGGCAAGGTGGCAGAGATATCTTTTATAAAGATTCTAGGTGACCACTGGGCTAAGCAGACTATCCCTTTGGTAGTGATTATTTCAGGGTTGGGAAGGTGACCTCATTCTGGCCAAAGGGATTGAGATCAAGATCACTGGAGACTTCTGATAAACTTCTTCCTAAAACAAAGAAGCTGAAAGAGAAATCCTTTGTGTCTTTTTCCTATTTAAATGCAGTTGTGTGAAGATGTGGTGTCTGACATAGCCATGATTATGTAAACACAAGATCAGCTGAGAGTTCTGACATCACTGAACTTCTGAAAATACTACCAGGCATCCTCAAACGATGGCCTCTGGGCCACACGCGGCCTGCCTAGGACATCTATCCGGTCTGCCAAGTGTTTTTGCTGCCGCTGCCTGTCCTGCTTAGCAGCCGACTCGTCCTGGGCCCCAAAGTCTGGCCCTCCAACTGTCTGAGGGACAGTGAACTGTCCCCCTGTTTAAAAAGTTTGAGGATCCCTGTGACTACACCTTACCCCAGATCTTTTACTTTAAAACATGCACACATACTAACTCATATATTGTAAGCCACTTTTAGTCAGATATTGAGTTACTGAGAGCAAAAAACCAGACAAATTGATATTAGCAAAACACACTTTTTTTTTCTAGTTACAATAATATCATTAAAGAAAATAAAATTTCAAAGTGATTATTTTAAAATATCAAGATGAAATATCTAGGAAATAGTTAAAACTACATCATAATTAATGAACTATTAATCTCAATTAACTCTAAAAGTTTTATTACTTTAATAAAGAAGCATTTATACATAGCATTTATAAAAATACAATTTATGGCTTGGCACCTGTGGCTCGAGTGGCTAGGGTGCGAGCCACATACACTGGAGCTGGTGGGTTCCAATCTAGCCTGGGCCTGCCAAAAAACAATGACAACTACAACCAAAAAAATAGCTGGGCATTGTGGTGGGCACCTGTAGTCCCAGCTACTTGGGAGGCTGAGGTTGCTGTGAGCTGTGATGCCATGATACTCTACCAAGGGCAACATAGTGAGATTCTGTCTCAAAAAAAAAAAAAATTAAAATACAATTTATATGCTATTACATGGCAAATAATCAAAAACATTTTGAGGCTTTTGGTATGTTTTCTATAAGAGTTTAACAAGCAAAAATGTCTTATTATATACTAGCTATATTACACAGCCAACTTTTAAAATTATTTATGTATGCGTTAAATAAAATTCTGCTCTAATCATTCTGTTATTCTCAAAATAGCTGTTTTTATAATCTCTATCCCTACAAATAACCTTCAGAGAAAGAAAATTCCTTAGTCTTTGAAATAATTATAATGGTATAACCACATATACATTTTTGTCATATTGAGATTGAAATATGTTAACAAACCATAGAGAATGTGTAATACAATATAATTACCTGGCTTGTGGCAAACCATAGCTGGTCCCTACTCCAACCCGAGGCAAGCTATAGACAACTTTTTTCACTGTTGCTTGATCAGGGAAATTAAACATAACTGAAGCTGTGGTGAGAAGGAAACAAAACAAAACAAAACACAGGATTTAGAAAACCACAGGAGAACTAGCCATCAATTTAAGAAATCATTTTCAAGTAGCTATCATGAATTTGCAAAGGTAATGAATCTTTATGGAAAATCAGCTTTCTGTATAACTGTTTATGAGAACCTATGGTTAACATTTTAAGCAAATTAATTCTTTTTATTTCCAAAAAAGGGCATAACAAATGCAAATGAGTAACATCTACAAGCACATTTTCTTTCAAAATATTTAAGGGGACTTACTTCGGTTTGCCATAAATACTTCCAAAGCAGTGTTTTGTAGAAGATAACGTCTTGAAAAGACAGCTCGTATCTCGCTGAACATCCATTTTCCATGAAGTCCCTCCGTGTACGCAAGAACCTAAAATAAACAGTATGAAGAGAAGTTTCAATCAATAAAATAGGTTTTTAAGATACAGCATTTACTTAGTGTGACAGTATCTTAGACAGCGCTGCATAAAAGTCAGAAAAGTGAATTCATGATACATCACAACATTGTCAATCATTTGATACTGTGTGTTTGCAAAATTTCTGTCTTTCTAAATTGTCCTAGATGGCTCTTAAGGAAATGAAGGGTTAGAAAAATTATATGTTCAAGGTGACTCTATGATTTAAAATAGAAAATATAATTTCGGAGTCTTATTTATAATTAAGTAGAACCAGTGACCACCTGTAATATATATTAGTGTTTATTTCCAATATCCCTTCTCCCCTTTCTTCCCTGCTTACAGGAAGTTCAGTTATCCCTAAAGCATCCATATGGTTAATTGCAGACTATGGATCATGATTGGTCAATCTAGGGATCAGCAAACTTTTTCTATTAAAGGGAAAATAGTAAATATTTTTAGGCTTTGCAGGCCATTTGGTCTCTGTTGCAACTACTCAACTTTGCTACTGGAGCATAAAAGCAGCTGTAAACATATGTAAACAAATAGGCATAACTGTGTTCTGATAAAACTTCATCTATAATGACAAGTGTGGGCTGAATTTGGCCCCAAGTCAGACTCTGGCTAAACCAATTATAACAATGCTATTCCCCAATTTCCCAAATTTCCGTGCAACTTTGGGGAAGAACATTTGACACAGAACTGACTAATGAGAACAAATGATCAAATGCCAAAGTTAGTCGGGGATGTTTTTAAAAAGTTTTTGCAATGAGTAATATTAGTTAACACATTCCTTTCCCCTTCTTGCTTGAATAGAGATGTGATTGCTCAAGTGTAGCAGAACTGTATAACTATAGTAGGCCAAAGTAAGAGCAGCAAGGTTGGTCCTAAAATCGAGCTACTCAGCAACCATCCATGTCTGGATTTCTAATTGTATTTGGTTAAGTCACTGTCTTCCAGTCTATAGTAAGTACACCCTTTCCTGATACACAAATACATATTAACAATACACAATCACTTTTTTTTTTACTAGCTTTGGTACATTCTACTGCACTTAATATTTGCTTTGGTGAGATAGAAACTAGTTACCAAGTTTTAAACGTATTATATTTCTTAAGCTTTGAAAACAAGTCATGAAGTTGCTTTTTACATCCATTTTTTCTAGGAAAAATATATAAAATACATCATATGTATAAAATCTTTTGGTCTTTTATATTTTGAAAATCTCATTTTGTAACCCTTAATCCAGTTTGTCTTTCCATAGACATTGAAAGGTTTTCAGAGGCAGTCAGACATCGATTTAAATCCTGAAACGTTGTGGAGCCAGTCAGACTCCAATTTAAGCCTTGGCTCTGCTGTTTACTAATTATAGGACCTTCCAAAAATCATTTAACTCCATCTGATTCCCATCATCTGTAAAACAATGATAATAAAACCTATTACTGTTCAGTTTATGCAGAGACAATGAATGTAAAGGACATGACCCTAGCTCCTAAGTTCTGTCATAAGTTCATATGTCTTTATTGTTGAGCATCATGTGACAACCATTTTTCAGGTTCTAGAAGCAAACTTCTTTTTATACATTTCACAGAAGTGTTACAATGACTTTCCATAATTTATATTTATAAATTCTCAGCTGGCTATAATGGTTTCTATATTTGAATTTCAAAGACCAGTATAATTTTTTACTACTACAGGATTCTTAATGGTTTTTTTTTTTTTGGGCAAGTAGGAAAAATTTTAAGACAAAATAGCCACAATAATAACTATCTTCAACTATAAGCATTATTTCACTAAGAAAATAAAAATATTTGGCTATTTGAAAACCCAAGCAGTAAGATTAGTATATCAGATTTAATGTTAAATAAGGACCTATATTCCCAAGAAAGCTGTGTTGGCACCCTTACACCAATACAGGCATGCCCCCATAGCCTGGAGTGGCGTTCAGGGAACGACCACCAGCTGCTTCTCCTTTAACATTCTTTCCACCTGCCAGAAGTCACGTAGCCTATGCATACTTTCCTTGTTATTGGCAAACACACAGGTTTTCCTCTTTAAGGTTGATCTCTACCCCATGTGCTAAGATTTACCCAACTTTGTTAGGACACTGTATAAAGCAAGCTGTTTCCATGGTTCAGGGGCTGGCTGCAGCCATCAGCTGCCTTAGTTCTCTGGACATTATCCTATCTCTCATTTTGTGTGTGTCCCTCTTTCTCAATTTCCCAGCTTTCCACTGAGATCAGCTTTCCCTCCTTGCCTGGTTGTGAGAGGTCCCTCTTGTGCTGGTATGTGACAGTATTAGTTTCACTCCTTAAGTGCTTCATGTAAAACTCTCTCTTATAAACCATGCCTGTTATTAATTTATGGCTTTCCAGATCCAAATTCACGCTTCATTGCCTGCTCTGGGAAACTGAGTCTGTGACCTTGAAATATTTTTCCTCTCCTATTTTTCCTATTCAACACAATACTAGACCTTCTAGCCAGAGAAGGGAATAAAAAGGCATCCAAATGAGAGCAGAGAGGTCAAACTCTACCTCTTTGCTGATGATATGATCTTACACTTAGAGAACCCCAAAACTCAACCCCAAGACCCCTGGAAGTCATAAAAAATACAGTAATGTCTAAGGCTATAAAATCAATATTCACAAGTCAGTAGCATTTGTATACGCCAATAACAGCCAGGATGAGAGGCTAATGAATTAAAGACACAACTCCCTTTACCATAGCTTCAAAAAAAAAAAAAAAAAGAAATACACCTTGAAATATACCTAACAAAAGAAGTGAAGGACCTCTTCACTTCTAAAAGAAACCTTGAGAAAAGAAATAGCAGAGGATATTAACAAATGGAAGAACATACCATGCTCATGGCTGGGAAGAATCAACATTGTTAAAATGTTTATGCTTCCCAAAGCAATCTACAGATTCAATGCCATCCCTTTTTTAAATACCAACATTGTACTTTCAAGACTTTGAAAAAATGATTCTTCATTTTGTATGGAACCAGAAAACACCCCATATAGTTAAGGCTATTCTTAGTAATAAAAACAAAGCCCGGTGCATCAGCATACCAGACTTTAGGTTATACTAACAAGGCCATAGCGGTCAAAACAGCATGGTACTGGCACAAAAATAGACATTTGGAATCAAATAGAAAACCAGGTAATGAAACTAACACCTTACAGCCACCTAATCTTTGATAAACCAAACAAGAACATACACTGGGGGAAAGAATCCTTATTCAACAAATGGTGCTGGGAGAACTGGATATCCACATGTAAAAGACTAAAACTGGACCCGCACCTTTCTCCATTCACAAAAATTGATTCAAGATGGATAAGAGACCTAAATTTTAGGCATGAAACGATAAAAATCCTCAAAGAAAGCATAGGAAAAACACTTGACGATATCAGCCTGGGGAAAGACTTTATGAAGAAGACTTCCATGGCAATTGCAACAACAAAAATAAACAAATGGGACTTAATGAAACTGAAAAGCTTCTGTACAGCTAAGGAGACAACAACTAAAGCAAATAGACAACTTACCCAATAGGAAAGGATATTTGCATATTCTAAATCAGACAAAAGCTTGATAACTAGATTCTATAAAGAACTCAAATTAATCTCCATGAAAAAAGCCAACAATCCCATATATCAATGGGTAAGAGACATGAATAGAACCTTCTCTAAAGAAGACTGATGAATGGCTAGCAAAAATATGAAAAAATGCTTATCATCCCTAATTATTAGAGAAATGCAAATCAAAACTATCCTGAGATATCATCTAACCCCCGCAAGAATGGCCCACATCACAAAATCTCAAAATTGCCAATGCTGGGGTAGATGTGGAAAGAAATACTTTTACACTGCTGGTGGGACTGTAAACTAATACAACCTTCTTGGAAGGAAGTATGGAGAACCCTCAGAGAACTCAAACTAAACCTCCAATTTGATCCTGTAATCCCATTACTGGGTATCTACCCAGAAGGGAAAAAATCCTTTCATGGTAAGGACACGCACACTTGTTTATCACAGCTCAATTCACAATGCCAAATTGTGGCAACAGCCTAAATGCCCACCAACCCAGGAATGGATTAATAAGCTGTGGTATATGCATACCATGGAATATTATTCAACCATTTAAAAAGATAGAAACTTTACATCCTTTTTATTAACCTAGATGGAAGTGGAACACATTATTCTTAGTAAAATATCATAAGAATGGAGAAGCATGAATCCTATGTACTCAATTTGATATAAGGACAATTAATGACCTAGTACATGGTGGGGGGTGAGGAAGGGAAGAGCAGAGAGAGAGAGAAAGAGGGAGGGGGTGGAGGAAAGGAAGAACAGAGAGAGGGAAGGAGGGAGGGGGGTGGGAAGGGGAAGAGCAGAGAGAGGAAAGGATGGCGGGGGGGAGGGGGTTTTGGTGTGTAACACACCTTTTAGGGGCAAGACACAATTATAAGAGGGACTTTACCTAACAAATGCAATCAGTGTAACCTGGTTTCTTATACCCTCAATGAAACCCCAACAATAAAAAAAAAATTAAAAAAAAAAAAAAGGAAAAATATTTTTCCTTTGCTTCCTGAAATGTGAAATGCAGGAAGAGGGCTTTCTTGTCCCCATTCTGGAGTGCTCCCTCAGTAGGTCCCTGCTCTGTCGTGCTGAGCTTCTGTGGTTCAGGATGCTCAACAGCACCCAGTGACCAGCAGTTGTGTCATTACTGCCCCACCCCATGAACAGCTTCACCAAATCCCTACAGTGGATTTTTGGAGCGTCTAGAGGGCAGACCTCCAGTGCCACCTGCCTCTCTCCCCACAAATAGGGCACTGAAGTGACTTCACTATCATTCAGTGAGCTACAGGCATGCCCTCCCCAACAAGCAAGGAGGGCATCTTTCTTGGGTTCTATGGCCCTAAGGGTACTGCCTGCTCCTTACATGTGTTATTCCCATATACTCTAGAGTTATTAGAGTT